CCCCACAAGCAATGAACACAGTCTGTTGTGGAAGAGGAGAAGAGAGCGCTTGAGAGCATTTATTACTCTCTCCATTAATTCCCACCTTTTTTTCTCTCTTCATTTCATAACCGGAAATTAATACACTAAACCGGTATTTAACCGAATTGGAGAATTGGTTCGTTTTCTCTATTGGCTTCGGTTTGGGATTTTTTAAATTTTCTTGATGATTTATAAATTGATTTAACCGGATTTGATCATTAGTTTATCATACCTACTAATTCTGCTCGATTTAATTTTCCAAAGTACCGAGAAATGAATCAACAAGACCGAACCATTTGGAGCTTTTTATATTAAACCTATTGGTTTAGGCCGGTCCAAACTGGTTTTTGTGAGAATATTGAAAGATATCACATTTATAACTTTCTTGACTTGGGGACATGAGAGATATGTGATATATCTTATGACTTATGTCTATTATATTTGTGGTTGTATTTAATTCAACTAGATATATTGTTAGTTGAGTCCACATTTATAAAAAAAAAAAAATCACTTTTTTGGCCCATAAATTTTAAATTGTTTGGTTCCATAATCTTAAAGCATGTAACAAGTTAATAAATTAATCGACTCTACAAAGTACAAAGATAAGTTGGTGAATGAATTTTTTTCTTATTAATTTTCATACATTTTAGATTCACATGTATTATGGAATGTATTTTTTTTATAGTCGTCGATTCAAGTTTTTACTATGTGATTAACTTTAAAAATAAATGTAATTGTCGAGTAGCTTGACTGATAAGTTGAAGGGGAAAATCGCATAAAAAACCTCCAAGGTGACTCACACTCACACTTTAAATCTCCAAAGTTTATAACTAATACTTTAAACCTCCAACATTACATTATTCACACTATAAACCTTTAAGATGATTTTTTAGTACACACCGTCATAATACTTAACAGAATTGTTCATTTTCCGTTTATAAAGAAAAAATGAAATATTGAACAAAAAAATATTTTTATAATTATATACAATTTTCTTATTTTTCTACGATTAACAAAAAAATCAAAAAATTGATTTCGACAAAATATTAGTGGTTGCGGCGAATTCATTCCTTCTCCTTCCTCCCCACCTTCCGACCCGACTTCCCTCAAGTCCACCGCCAAGACAACGACGATTCTTCCGCCGTACCACCACCGGTTCTCCTTCCATCTTCCACCACCGCCGCAATTGAGTACCAGCCTCACCACCGTGACCACCCACCTCCACCGCCTCCTCCTCTCCCCATAGCCCTAATTCATCTTCTCCGCCTTCTATCTCCTATTCCTACATGCTCCTCACTCTCTCCGGTACCAATCATCTTCAATCATAGAATCTTCCACAATCTCTTTCGATCCCCAGATTTTTCATCCAACCACCAAGCTTAACCAGAATCGTATCCATGGAGGATATCTCTGGATCTCCGGTGAAAAGAAACGACGGACTCCACCGCTACTTAAAACCAGGCATGCGTGCTCAGATCCAAAATTCGAGAATCAACGATAGATCTACTACCTCTCTAGTATCTTGGTCTCTCCCAAAGCCACTTCGTAAATCTCCGTTGATGAAGTCACGGCGGCTTCCTTGTAACTGAGCTTTCAACAAAAATATTGGAGCTTCAATTATTTTTTTTTCTGTTGGAACGAGTTGAATGAAACATTTAGAAGAAGAACATGAATCTTCTTCTGTGAATTTTAACCCGAGATGAAAGAAGAGAAGATTTTCTTTGTTTTATTTTTTTACCATTTTTATTTTAAGAAATTGTATTTTAATTATAGAAAGAATTTTTTTGTTTATGTTTCCGTTTTTTTTTCTTTTTCTGATTTTCTAAATTTATTATTAAATTGTAAATAATATATTAAATTATTATTTTTAATTAAAAAATTAAATTAAAAGTCATTTTATCATTTATAAACGGAAAATAACAGTTCTGTTAAGTATTATGACGATGTGTATTGAAAAACCATCTTAAAGGTTTATAATGTGAATAATGTCACGTTGGAGGTTTAAAGTGCTAGTCAAAAATTTTGGAAGTTTAAAGTGTCAGTGCGAGCCACTTTGAAAGTTTTTTTATGCGATTTTTCCTAAGTTGAAGTGAAAGTGTTTATAGTGGAGTGATGGAATAAAAAAAAGGGTCATACACGATTATTCTAGAGTGAAAATTAGCTTGTAAGCGTAATCAAAGTCAACTTTTGAGTGGAATTTCTCCTGAATAGGTCGTTTTGTTAGGCTACATAACATAAGAAAAATCATAATAATCAGTAAATTATTATTTGTTTTTTCACGCCATATTAATTTATTGATTTTCTTTTAACTTTGTGAGGGTTTCGTCGTGCTGAAGAAATGGAACATTAATGGCACGTGACTGTGCTTAAGGCGTAGGGTACGGCACGTAAGCAGAACCATGCTTGCTGCTTCCGGTCCGGAGTAAAAAACTAAATGAGATAGTGAAGTGGGGCTTCCGGCAGGATCCAGAAGGCAGTGCTGGACTATTAACGGGCTTTAAAAGGCCCATAGTTTGAAGAATTGCGATTGTTTATATTTAAAGTATCTTGAGAAAAGTTGATCTGAAGAGTAATTTGTGACAGCCACGAATGGGAACCCTAAATCAATTTGAAAACATGCATATAGATTCGATGTTCGCATGCTTTTGTCTTCTAATGCTAATGGTTAGAGTTATATAGAAATTTTCAGAAAATAATAATGATACAAGGACCAAAATAAATAATTTCATTGTACTATTCAATTTTTGTCTTTTAGAATGATTGGATTTTGTTATGGCAGTTAAGATTCTGATTCTTTTTCAGACATACATGAACATGTAAGGTTGTGAGTGAGCTAAGATATTGTCATTTTTTTGGTTTTCGTTTACAAAATATAATTTTAACACTCACATATTTTTACGTTTCACCTTCACATCTGATGAGATATTAGAAAGAAGTATATAAAGTGGACCCAGTAACATTGATTTTTATAATAACAAAAGAATATATCTGAAAATTTTATGCGTATACGGTACAATTCCTGCTTTTTTTTTTTTTACTTCTGAATGAATTAATACTAGATAGAATTTACATAGTCATCATAAATTATAAGAGAAATGAAAATAGGTACATATGAAAAATAGATTTTGAGTAAACAAATGTTTTGCAAAATGATCTGCAGGTTTATTAAACTCTCTTTTTGTCCATTGTAGCTTGATTTCTCTAAACTTGTTCTTTCACAGACGACTTTCTCGAATCCAATTCAGAGTTCCAAAATTAAGAGAAAACCCATCAATAAGACCTGCGATACTATTATTATCTCTTTCGAAATTCCGAAAACTTTTGCACCAAGCATTTTGCATCGCAAAAATCAGAGCCTGTAATTCACATTCTAGAGGATTATTTGTCATGTTTCCAACAGCTTGTCCTTCACCTTTGTAAACCCCATTACCATCTATGAAAATCCAGCCTGCTTGAGAGAGAATATTTTCACTTATGAAAGACTCATCATAATTGCATTAAATCCATCCGCCTTGAGGTTTCTCCCATCTAGTAACAACATGAGACTATGTAACAGAGGGATGAGCAGTGCTAGATGATAACTCTAAAATATATGTGAAGCATTCAACTACTCTTTTGTATCATTCAATTCCCGTTAAATACTAGTAAGCCCCTTAGAATAGACGTGTTACTGAAAAATATCGAAGAACTCGTGATTTGCATATGTTTGATCTTGTCTTGTTTCTTTTTAATGTAATTTTTAACGAGTATTGTGAATCTAAGATAAATCTGGTTTAAAATCTTGACAATAAGGGTTCATTTCGAAACCTGCGATAAATCTAAACTTTAAAAACCTTAGCTTTCGAATTTTTGGAATTCAATGATTTTTTTGTCGTAATTTTAAAACAAACTATAAAAATATACTATTGTTTTAGAGAATTGCCGGAAACAAACAAAAAGTGGAAACAGTAGGAGCAAAATTGTAATCAAGCAATTAGGTATGATTAATGGCTGGCGGAGAAAAACTCCAAACCTAAACAATTCGATAAGACTAAGATAAAATTCTATTAGTAGTAATGCCTAATGGACATGGTTCGTAAATATGATGGATCATTAAGCAATAATCCTTAAGCCAGGTTTAACCATATCTAAGGCCCTTTCGAATCAATATAACCATATTTAATGTTCTCACGATCAAAATTGTTGTCAATATAGTCTCATGTGAGTTCCAACTTTATTGGATGTCTTTTTTTTCCAAAGATATATTTTTGTTAATTTAGTGAGTAGAAAACTAAATTATTTATTTTGTATGTTTCTCATGTACATGAATATAGTTCGTAATCACAAAGTTTGTTTGTATGTTTTATAGATGGCTATAATGATCTATGGAATCTAGAGATCCGATCTTGGCCGGCTTACGGCTTTGCACATGGCCAATCATAAAT